GGGAAGCATTTCTTCCTGACATGAATCTGAACCTACTCTGTGTCAGTGGGAAGCCATTCCCCCTTGTCCAAAGTGCCTTCCCAGCTCTCTTGGAGCCCCTTGAGATACTGCAAGACCATAGTAAGGTCTCTGTTGAGCCTCCTCTTCTCCAGGCTGAAAAATTCTCAGCCTCTCCTTATGGGAGAGCTGCTCCATCCCTGTAATCATCTTCAGGGCCTCCTCTGGGCTCATTCCAACATCTGCACATCCTCCCTGTGCTGGGACCCCAGAGCTGGACACCCCACAGAGGGATGCTCCACCTGAGCAGACACCACAGCCACTCTGCCATCTCCTTACCTGCTGACCACCCTGGAGCTGCCTGTGTTAGGCTGGAAAGCCCTGGAGGTTCTGAGATAATTCCATTTATTCTGTCCCTGCTCTTAGGGCTGGTCTCCAGGGATGGGGCAGTGCTCATTTGAGGATTTGAGGCTGTTGTGCTGGAAGGGGTGTTTGGGAGGGCTGGGGAGCCTTTCCTCATGCTGGAGGTCTGGAACTCATCCCTGAGTTCAGCTGGGCAGTTCCTGGAACTCTTTATCTGGGGCTGCAGCAGGGAGGGTGGGGGCAGAAGGTGCTGCCTCAGCCTGGAACCTTCCCCTTCAGCAATTAATTAAAGCACAGAGCTGGCTGATCTCACCAGTCTGAATCCCACCTGATTGCTGGGAATTAAGAGGAGCTGGAGCCATGACTTACTCCTTATGGGCAGCATTCATTGGATGGATAGTAAGTATAGATGGAAATCCTGGGATCCTCTTCCCACTTGCTGTTTTGGCAATTGGGTACTTCCAAATTAAAATCCATGGGCTGTGACCCATAGGCCCTCTTATTGTGGTGGGTTTTTCAGTGTTGGTTGGTTTCAATCTGATGTTATGTTCTGATAATTCTTTTAGTGCTCCAAAATGCATAATTCACCTCTTAGTCCTTAGAATTCTTAGAGTAATTGTAGAATAATTTAGGTTATAAAGGACTTATTGTGCTCATCAAGCCAAGCATCCCATTCAAAGCAGCGTTCACTACAAAATAATACCGTAAAATATGAATAAATGGAAGTCTGTTGCTGTCTTTCTGGGATACTGCAAGGGAGCAGCTGGAATAGTTTTTGGGATTTGTAAGAACTTGTAAGCTCTGCTAAAATGCAGTGTCACACTTAAGGAGCAATTTAACCACATTTTTTGCTTCTTTAATTAAAGTAAGGAGAGGAGAAATGGAAAAAAAAAAAAAAAGCAGCATCCCTTTTCAAGAAATCAGCACCATTTTTTCTCTGAGTTGTGTATTAACAAGGCAGATGGTCAAAACTTCCTTCCATTGTGCAGTTCCTCTTCATACCCAACCCATGCCAGTGGAATTTAGCTCTGAACATTCACACTCAAGCTGTGGGCTGTCACTTTGGCTGGCTGATGTCTCGGGCTCCTTGGCAAACAAAGATATTTTTGAAACTGTCTGTGCAGCTTCTGACTCAGGAGATCTCTGGGAGCTGGTGTTCCTCCTGTGCCAGGTCTTCATTTCCCATCAGTGCAGGAGGCTTTTGCACATAAATGTCTGCATTGACTCAGAGTTAGGGGTGATTTTGGGGCTGGTGGGACCAACGTTGTGTGTGCATCGTTCTCAGGAATGGGAAATTGCAGGAGTAATCAGCCCTGGACTGTAGCCAAGCCCAGCTTAATTCCAAGGGAGGACTGAAAGAGGCATAATCATAATGGCTTATTTTAGAAGAACCAGAGGCAAAGCAGGACACAGCTCAGCTGCTTAATTTTATAGAAAAATTAAGTAGATTTTTTCCCCTAGCTCCTGGTGTGAGAACTGGGGAGTTAAAGATCAAAGCATGGAGAATTACAGCATTTGAAACCTGGATCAGGCGTGGATTTTGTTTGATTTGGGAGATTTTTCTGTCATCATAAATTAGAAAAGTTCCAATTTGGGTTTATCTTGTGTGCTAAAAAGACACCAGACCCCTCTTTGCTGCTTTTTCCTTTGGAATGATTGGTTTTCCAGTTTCCTGAATATTCTGTCTATGGAGGAAATGTCTGTACCTTTCCTGGCTTTGTGTTGACTGCCTTGAGTCTTTCAGGAGTGTGGTGACAATAATAGAAAAGAGATCTTCAAAAGAAAAGCTAAAACTCTTCATTCTTACTAATAATCACCTTCTGGCAAGACAAATCTTCCTGGTTTGTTGTCACTTCCTTCCTCAGCACCCCCTCTCCTCTGAGCTGCTGCACAGGCTATAAATTGCTTTTCTGCACCACTCTTGGTGCCCCCAGCCAACACCTCCTCCACCAGCCAAGGAGAGGATCAGCTCCTCTTCCCACTCCTTATTTTTCTGCTTGGTACCTAGAGAGAGTTTATTTTTTCCAATTAATCATTTGGCACCTTAAAAAGTAACGTGTTGAAAGGGCCTGTCAGGGAAGGACACAATCGTTTTGAAATAAGCAGCTTCCTCCAGAAGAAAAATAAAATAATGATTCTGAATATAACAAAGTCTTTAGAACACAGCGAACTCTAGATTTCCTAGAGCTTGGAGGGTTTTATTCCTGACATTTAGCTTCAGTTTGTTGCATTGAACTTAACTTCACAATGCCTTCAGAAGCAGTAATTTTATTTCTTTTTTCAGGCTTGTTTTGGGTTTAGCACAGAGAAATAACTCTGCTAATGGTGTCATTCTGGGCAGCAGTGTAAGATCTTGTTAGGTATTCCTGAGCCTTCTCAGGAGTGGTGTCTTTGCACCCAAACTTGACCCCTGTGGCTGCTGAGCCGTTGTTATCTGGGCTGCCCACACCCCTCCTGCACAGCCCCCCGAGCCCCGATAACTCAGCTGGGTAAACAAGGGCTCCCCACTGCAGCACGACAAAAGCTGCTCCCGTTCCTGTTTCTAAGCTTTTTAGTCTTAATTTCTAGTAGAAACAGCATGGGTGATTGCAAATAAAATGGTGCCGTGTGTAGAGTTAATGGGCGTTAGTTGTAACCAGTGGAAAAAGATTGTAAGAGTGGGATAACTCATGATTTGGGATTGGCAAAAAATTCATAATAAGCATCAAGGTGGAAAATAATCCCCTGAATGAGTGTGGACAGCTGGGAGGGAAGTGAGAAGAGCCACTGGTATTTATTAGTCCCTTTCCTAGAAGGGCAGCCACTGGCCAAAGGTTCCGTGGCCACTGGGTGAGAGCTGAGCCCAGGAGTCCCTGGAGCAAATCATGGGACTGGGAAGCTGCAGAGGGAATTTGTGGAAGGCAAAACATCCAGCCAAGCCAAGCAGGAGGAAGTGCCCCGTGGTTTCTAGGAAATAGCAGACTGTCTCCTGTGTTGGAAGCAGCGTGTGTCTGGCTCGCATTTGGAACCTTGTACCTGGCATGGAGTGGGAAATGTAAGAGCTTAACTCGCCTCCAGGCATTCATGTACATATCTTTATTTAGATATCTATATAGGATAGGTTTGACTCCATCTTTTTGAGGTTTTTTTCCAACCTTAAAGATCTTATGATTGTATAAAGTGTAAGAACGGGTGAATTTTGGGGCTGCAGGAACATCTGGAGTAAGAAAAACAGGAATTATCTGTTCCATGTAACTCACAAACCAAGCCCGTTTAACTTGAGTATTGCAAAAAGAATTTAGCTTAGTCTTTCACTTCAAGGTGCATGGTGATAGTTGGAGCAAATGGTGGAACCTTTTGTATTTCCTGTCAGCAGCAAAGAACATGACAGGGCTGGAGAGTGGCTGTGGCCACTGGGAAATAAGAACTGGTTATGAGAACTGGATGTGTTGTGGTATTTCTCAGTAGCCAGGTGTCAGCACTGCTGAATTATTAGTAATGGTTTTATAGTCTTAAGGAAGCTTTCTTTAGGTGTACAAAATAATAATAAAAAAATGCAATCTCCCTTTTCCCCCCCAGTAATATGAATGAATTCTACATATTAAATATAGGATTTCTTAATTATTGTTTCTTTGTGTGTGCTGCCTGAAGAGATGTGTTCTAGTCCCAGCAATGTGTTCTGCTCAGTTGCAGAGGGTCAGAGGCAAGGGGTACTTAAATAGAGAGAAAAATCCTTGGGTTTTACCAAGGGCAGGTGGAAAACCATGTAATTTGCTGTCAGATAAAATCTTGATAAGCAAAACTGATGTGGAGCTGAAAGCCATGTTTTTATTTGTTCAGGGTAATGAAGGTGAAAGAGACCAAGAGTTAATTATCTGCTCCCAGTGTAGAATTTCAGGAACTCTTGAAGCTCCCTGAATAACTCGGTACAACTGCAGGGCTGGGTTGACATTGGTGTGCTGCAAATCTGGGGTGCCAGCACTGACCCACTTCTCTCCCTGGAAAGCTGAGGGCCTGGGATCCACTCATTCCTTCTTAGGAAAGCAGCAGATCCATGGAATAAAAACTGTCAGGAAAGGAGAGGTCAGAGTAAACCAAAGCAAACCCACTGTGGTCTGTCCTGCGTTGGGTTTGGATGTTACACCAGTTTGTAGAAAGCTTTTTGTGTCTGGCCCTGTGCTTATTTATTTATGTATTTATGCATTTTATTTTGACTGTCTTCCAAAGAAAGCTTAGGGAAAAAAAAGTAAAGGATCATTCTATTAAACACAGGAAAAGAGCAGTGGAGCTGATGTTTGCCTGCTGTGCTTGAGGAGGTGAAATATCATTCCCAGCAGAGTTCCTTGTGCTTGCATAGGTGCTTTGAGAAGTTCTGTGCAACCCGAGATAAGAGCCATATTAAAGCAGCATGGAGTTCCTGAAACAAGGAGTCAGCTCCAACCTCTGGAATCCTTTATTTGCCCGGGAAAACAATTACTGTAATCATTGTCCAGAGAATTATTGTCCAGAGAATGGTCGCTCCGAGTTCACAGCAGTTCTTTGTGCTCAACTTCATTCCCAGTCAGCCGAGCTGAACTGTCAGGTTCCGAGGCATTATTGCCAATAAAACCTGCTAGTCCCTGGGGCAGGGGCTGGAGCTCTGAGTGAAGGTTTTGTTGCAGGACCAGCTGAGGCAATGCTTCTCCAGGCAGCCGCCGGGGGCGAAGGACACGGACACGCTGGTGCAGGAGCCCGACAGCCACTACGGCACCTGGAGCCAGCAGCGGCACAGCGGAGACAGGTGAGCTTTGCTCAGCTTGGGGATGCTGCAATCCCACCATCCCAGAATAGTTCCATGCTGGAATGGCCTTAAAAATCATCTCATTCCAACCCTCAGCCATGGGATACCTTCTGCTAGAGCAGGTCGCTCCAAGCCTTGTTCTCGGACACTTCTACTTGTTTTCTAATCTGATTTTCTTTCCTTTAAAAGATTTTCTGATTGTCTTTCCTTTAAAAATACTACCAGGTGAATAGCAAAATCTCTCTGGAATAGCAGAGTGGCAAAATCCCTCTGGAGCAGGGACTCTGGGCCTCAGGTGGGGTGACACAGGGTGCATCTCTCCATGCCCACATCTCAGACTCTCGAGTGTTTTATTGGTGGTGAAGTGGAGGATGAAATGGAGTATCAGCTGAGTAAAACTGATATTGAGTATTGCTGATGCTTTTTTGCTCTTAGAATGATTTAGTGAAATAAACCTAGAGCGGTAAAGTGTGAGTTTTTTTTATAGTTCACACCTGTTGTATAAATTACAGCTTGATCTACCCTGAACTTGTACCCTGTCTGCTCAGTGTAGTGTGAAAATAGCATTTTATCTGGTTTTTATGCTATACTTGTTGGGATCTTACAGCAGACATTAATGTCAATTATGTTTGGTTTGTTCTGCACTTGAGCACTGCGTGTTATGAATATTTTTATTGCTTATGAAATCAGGGTAACGACCAGCTCGAGGTTCAGCAGCCAAATGAGTGCCAACAGTGACAGCCACGCTGCTGTAAAATTAACTTGGATCCCAGGATGGTACAGACATTTCTGAGATCAGTTTCTTAACAAAGGTGCTTGTCTCAGCTTCACAGCAGACAGCACTGGAGAGTTATTTCAATCCATCCATCCTGATGAGAACAGCTCCACCTAAACGTTCCGGTTCACTGAAGGATTGGACTCAATCCCATGTGCTGGAATTTTGTTTGCACTGCAAGAAGTATTTAGATTTTGCCTTTTTTACAGTATAATGGTGACAGTGTAGAGACTCTTCAGCATTTTGCCACCCCATTGCTCTGTTTTATTTTGACTTACAGCTCACTGGAGGGGAATTACTGCTGTATTTATTCAGGCACTTGAAGAGAAATGAGATTAGTGTACTTTTAAATAATGGAAGTCTTCCTGGAATATATTGAACAAGCATTTTGTCTGTGGTTTATTTTGGATGAAGTCCCTGTCAGGAGCAGTGCAGATGTTCTCCTCATGTTGCTGTGGGTGCTCAGAGCCTTTGGTGCCTCCTCCTCACCCCAGCTGGAGGCAGGAACACTCAGGAGATGTTGATGGTTCAGTTTTCCTGTTTGGCCTGGCTCACTTCCTTGCCAGCCCCACGGTGTCACACCCCACAGGGACCAAGGGGTGTCACAGCCTCCTGCTGTGCTGGGGGAACCTCCAGCCTGGGGCATTTCCCAGCATTGCAGCCATGGAGGGATCATTTGAGGAGTGTTCTGGGAATGACCTCATCTTCATGGAATCACAGAGTCCTTAAGGTTGGAAAAGACCTCCAAGATGACCGAGTGCAGCCTTCTCCTGAATCCCACTGTGGCCATTCATCCAAGCAGAGCCACCTCTGCTTGGCATGTGGACACTAACAGGGATGGGGACTCCTCTGCTTCTCTGGGAGAGGAGAGGAATTTTGAAATCAAAAGCCATAACTTCATGGCAACAGGATGAGCACTGTCCTTTTCCTAGATGAGCTTTTGGAAGGTGAAGGAAGGAGTATTTTCCTCTAGAGCTGAGCCACTGCTGGAATTAGCATAAGGAGCTCCTCTGGGCTGGTTCCAGTGAGCTTTGGCCAGTAACTCCTTGGGATGGACAGAGATTAAATAAACCATCTCCTCCCATTTGGAGGCATTAATTAGATTTTTCTTAGTTTATCTAAAAGATTTGGTTTTAATTTTTCTCAAGCGCTTTAATGAGCTTTTCCAAGTTGGCAGTGTAGAAAATCCTTTTAGGTTAGAACAATCTTCATAAGGAAAATTTTTGTTTTTTACAGGAAAGGAATTGGTTTTAGATGGTGGAGCCATACAGCTCTGACTCCTCATTTCACAGGCTGAAGCAACACCTTTTTATGGCCTCTATACACTGTCATGCTAAAACTAATTAAATTTAATTGCAGTTGGAAGTGAGGATTGCTGTCAGTTTATTGTCCATTGTGATAGCCATCCTGCTGGGTTTGTGTGCTCCACGTGAGGGATGATGTCTCAGAGAAGTGTCTATAAATGTACCTGTGGAGCATCAGGGTAGCTCATGGATACACTCACAAACCCTGAAATCTTAATGAAGTAATAGAAAGAGGTGCATAATATATCTCAGTAATGAGAACTGAAAATATGTTTTCAATTTCATTTTTCTAAAGGGAATTTTCCCTCTCATTAGCTGTTCACTGGAAAGAATCCACTGCACATAACTGGGTTTGGACTCTGGGTATCCCTCCCACATTTGGGGATGAGCTGTGCCATAGGGGTTGGTGTATGAGGCTGTAATTGTGCATAAACTCCAAAGGAAAATCCGTTGGGAAGGTTTGGGAATGAGGAACCACCAACCAGTCCTATTTCAGCTGGATTTCCATCACATACTAATCTCAGATATTTCAGTTTTAAAAACCTCAATGAATTGTATCAGCTGCAGCCCTGGGATGTAGCAGACTTTTTGGAGATGTGCAAGTCCAACAGGATCCTTTCAACACACGCTTTAATTTCCATGAAAGGTCCTGCACATTGTCCCTCCCCTCTCCATTTTTCCATATTGCAGTGGCTCTAAAGCCTAATGCTGCAGATACCAAATGTCATTTGAAGCAAAAATCCTAGACAAAAACCTTCCCCCAGAGCTCATTAGTGCCATTCTTAATTATCCTGGGGCCCACTGGTGAAGGAGGGAAGCAGCATTCCCTCTGCTCGTGTGCTGGAAACCCTCTGGGCAGTGTCTGCTCTGCCAGACTGGACATGGCACCATGTGCTGGTGCTGATGGAATGCTGAGTGGTTAAACTGCCAAGTGTTTTTATCCTGGGATTTCTGTACCAAATACTAAGCTTTATTGCTTAAAAGATGTGCATATGTTGATAGAGGTGTGGGTTTTTTAGGTTTAGAACAGTTTTCCTAGATATGTGCCCAAGAAATGCTGCTTAGTGGCAAAAGACTTCTATTAAGAGGAGGAAAAAACAATCAGAACTAAATCCTTTCGGTTTTGGTTTTTTTGGAACTGAGAATTAGAAGCACGACAGCCCAATTTTTACTGACAATAGAATGTTCCTATTTCAAAGAATACTCCAGCATTTGTAACAAAGGCAGACACAACTCTGTCCAGCTTTCAGTCCTGACCCTGCAGCTCATTCCTGTCAGTCTGGGCCACGGGAGGAATTCTAGGAATACACTGGGAGCATCCCACACCGGGGAGCAGGTGCTGCTGCCCTCCGTCTGCCCATGGAGCCCTGCCTTAGGCTGCCACCTGGTGCCCAGCTCTCTTCATCTCCAGCATTCCTGAAGGAAAAAATCCTCAGGCTGCGCAGAATGTGTGAGAACCCAGGGCTTGGTCTGGGGTCTCGTGTGGTGGAAAAGTCTCTCCTCCAACCCGAGCTTCCAAAGGAAGGCTCAGCAGTCTCTATTGTTCAGTCTCAAGGCAGTTTATTGCGAGTTATCTAAAAGATTTTCTTCTCGGGCTGCTGTGGTTTGCTCACAGCTCAGGCGGAGGCACACACACCCTGACATCCTCTCTGTCTGCTGTCTTCTTCTTCTCTCCCCCCACCCAGGGCTGCTGCTAGCTTTTATATGATATATTACGTATTACATGTTTATAGTTGGCCCCCAATACCTACTACCTATATTACAAAGTACTTTTCTACTCTAAACCAATCTGTGAGTGCCAGCATCACCAAGAACATGGAGGTGAGGAAGAAGAAGGAAGAAGAACAGGATCAGCCCACTTTCCTCCATCTTAGAACTTCTGACCCCCATGTACAAAGTAAAAACCCCCTGTACAGGTGCTAAAACCCCCCTGTACAATACTAAAAAAAAATTCCCCTCTACTTTGTAACTACTTTTACTATACTATCTAACCTTTTGTGACTGCTTGTTCCACCTCCAAAGCTGGTAACTCATTCCATGGCTCAAACTCAAAATCACAGCTGTTTGCAGCTGCCTGCCAGGGTCTAAAATGCTTCTGACCAAGGCCTGGAACCTCTAAAAATGTCTGAGAGACATTTTGAGTTCCAAAAGGAATGCACCCCAAATACACCCCAATCCCAACACGCTGTGAATCCAAGGGGTGAGGGCCGTGCCAGCGGAAGGGATCCGCACCATGCTGCTGGTACTCAAACTTTCTGTTCCACTTTTATTTAACCCCTGCTGATCACGTGTGATCCAGCCTGGCCTTGCAGGCCTGTGTTTGCCCCGAAGTCTCAAGAGATTCCATTTGCTCCAATTTGCAGCTTTGTGGGAGAATCTCCTTCCCTGGACACGGAGGCGGGGTCGGGGCGGAAGCAGCCCGCGGGCAGCCACGCGTCCTCGCTGTCCTCGCAGACAGAGCCTCCCTCCCTGCCTGAGCACCATGACTTCTCCAAAGAGCCACGGAGCACCAGCCTGGACCGCTCCAGCACGGACATGGACTCCACGGATGGCACTGATCTGCCTCCTCCAGGGGACACGCTCCCCGAGGACAAGAGTTATTTCTCCTTCATTGATGTAAGTTGCCATCGTGTGTTCCCTCAGTTAAGCCCTCCCCAGTTCCTTCTGGAAACTTTGCAACCTGGTCTGCCCTGCCTCTCCCACACTGAATTTTGCCAGATGTTTTCCTGCTTGAAAAGTTTAGGATCAAAACTGCAGAGTTTTTATAAGTCTCTGCGGTGTTTAGGTTCTGTGAGATTCCATAAAGTGCTGGCCTTGGATAATCAGTCATGGAATTCCAGACTGCTTTGGGTTGAAGGGATCTTAAAACTCACTCAGTTCTACCCCCTGCCATGGGCAGGGACACTTTCCACTAGACCAGATTTTCTCCAAACTGGCCTTGGACACTTCCAGGGATGAATATTGCAAGTATGAGTAAATAACACAGTCAGTGGCTGCTGTGCTGTCAGCCATGCAAATTTAAGGCTGTAAGGACCTTCATTAATATTTTTCTTATTTACAATTGGTTTCTTTCCACAGTAGCTCACAGTTGCATTTTTATGATTTTTTTTTTAATATTGAAGAATTTTGAAGTTGGTATAAGACAAGGAGTTTCTGACTATACAGTTTTTGAGGTCTAGTGCTGCAAGAACTTGGTTTAATTTGGAAAAGCCCTCTAAGATTATTGAGTCCAACTGTTATTCCAGCACTGCCAGGGCCACCTCCAAGTGCCACATCCACACGGGGTTTTAACACTTTCAGAAGGTTTTGTTTTTTCCCTGGGCCACTGAAGGTGTCACTGTAAAACATTAATAGCTCTAAGTGCAGCTGGCAAATGCTGTGTGATAAGTAGTTTATTCTTGACCTTAAGTCTTTTGAAAAAAAGGAGCAAACCCACATATTCTGGAGAAGGGGAGGCTCAGGGATATTTGGTGGTTACAGGCAAATCTGTAACAGCACGTTGCTTTAAGCAAGTAAATAAATTACAGCTCTGTAGATGTTACTGCTTATTGGATGAGTTAGAAATGACTGGTCACAGGTTTCTGAATGCTGTGACACTAAACTTGGAGTGTCCCTGGTGCTGGTGAGTGGCTTTGTTTGTGGCTGGCAGGGAAGCTGGAGCTCTGCACTCCAAGGGAGTTTTGTGTATTTGTTCTTTTTAGACCCCAATCTCGGGATTTGCCATCATCTGCAACCAACTAGCGAGGCCTGTATTCATAAAACACTCTAGGAACTAAACTCCTGATTATTGCAGTTATTTTTTGTGTTAATTTAGTGCAAATTATTCATGCAACTCGGGTATCCACACCCTAGATCAAAGGATTACACCCAGTTAACCACGAAGTACCATATCCTCATCATACACTCTTTACTATGACTTTAAGTGACTATAATAACAATAATCAGACAAATACCCATTTTAATTGGTGGATGCAATCAGGTGGGTTGGGATTTCCCTGTGGGGGAGCTGGGGCTCATTCCCAGGTGTGTGTTTCTCCAGCACACAGCTGTCCTGGACTCCAGTGCTCTGAAGACTCGGGTGCAGCTGAGCAAGAAGCGGCGGTGCCGGGCGCCCGCGTCGCACTCGCTGCGCAGGAGCAGAGGGCTGGACCTGGAGAACAGGTTTTCCTTGACAGAAGAACCAGATAATGGCTGGATGTTCAAAGATTCCACAGGTAACCCCTCAGCCACCTGGAGTAATTGGTTGTGGTCAGCCTGGGTGCAAGGGCAGGAGTTTGTAAAAGGCATTTTTTAAATACAGCTCTTCGTTCCTGCTTGAGTGCAGGGAGAAATGTTGAGCAAGGCAGAGATGAAAAGCCAGCTCATGGTTTCCACCTCTGCCTTTTTTTTTTTTTTCTTGGTAACAATTAATTAGAAGAGAAGAAAACTATGCAACAGGAAGATTCTGAGGAGGAAGAGAAGATCCAGCACACTCCGAAGTCATCTTCTGTGCAAGCCCAGAGACTGCCCGTGTTCCCAGGGATGGATCACTCTGTTCTCAAGGTGAGCTCAGGCAGAGCCCAGTAGGTGGGAGATAAACCAGTTCAGTACCTGCAGGTGCAAGGAATTCCCTCACTCATTTCAGGGGATTTTTTTTGTTTTTATAAATCTGGAGTGATCCATTCTGCATTCCAAAAAACAAACAAACATAAAAACCCACCCAAAACCACTGGATGCTGGCTTAAAAGGACCCCTTTCTTTATTTTTATCTTTAGGCCCAACTGAGGAAAAGACAGGAGTCTGAGAGCACTGGTGACATCGGCTCTGCTCAGCTCTTCAAATCCCCCAAAGCACAGCTCGGCACTCCCGGCAGCAGAGTGCTGCCCTCCAGTGTGGAAAAGGAGGACAGGTGAGAGAATCCCAGCTCTTCTTGATGGAATGAAAAAATAATGCAACAAGCTGTAACTTCCTTTTTTGTTGTTGTTGTTTCTGGCAGTTTTCATAAAGAAAGAATAAAGAGTATTTTTTAAATATGTATCTTAGGTCAGAAGAAAAGTCTCCTCAGTGGCTGAAGGAGCTGAAATCAAAGAAGAGACAGAGCCATTATGAGAATCAGGTTTGAAAAGGTACTTGGGTAGGAAGGGGGGCTTTGCTGAGTGCAGATGTGCAGTGACAAACTCACATTTCCTTTGATGTGTTGGTGTCACCACTGTGGCCCCACCAACACTGCCCTTCCCCTGCCCTGTGCACCAGGGGTGTCAGGAATTGGTGCTCCTCCATTCCCATTCACAGTTCCACTAATTCTCTGCACATAATTTGATTTCCATAACCCTCACTCTGTTGGGAATTCCCAGTTTGAAAGCTTTGTGTGGTTTCAGCACAATTCTGGGTGGCTCTTAAGCATTTAATGTGTTAAACAGACAAAACCAAGGTGGCACTACAACAGAAAACACATTTTAAGGGGTTCCTGTTCCAGCTGGCCATATCACACCCTTCCTTCTGTTTTCCTTTCCAGACAGTGAATCTAACTAGGAGAAGATAAAGAAGTTTAACAGAAGCCTTAACTCATCTGAACCTAAACCCCCATGTCATGTTGCTGCTGTTTGCTTCCTGCCTCAACTGCTCTGTGCATGGTGCCTTCCTGTTTTGTGGAGAAAAGCTGCTTCAATTCATAGTCAAATACAAAGCTGTGTCTGTCAGTTGTGGGGACAGTGGCACTTCAGACCTGCCTGCCAGGAGAACCCCCCTGGGTCATGGGTGGCACTTCAGAAAGTCTTGGAAAACAGAGATATCTGGGAGTGCTGTGATCCAGGGAACTCCCCTCACCGTGGAGCAGACTCTGTAGGTGTTCACCTCTGGGAGATATCTGGCTGGGCTTTGTGTTTGTTTATGAAAATAATAATTTTAATCAAATTTATCTTTTTTTTTCTTTTTTTTTTTTTTGTGAACAAATAGTAAGCTCCTATTTAGAATGAAATTTGTGGAAGGTGAGAGTGGAAGAACAAATCATGTTTACTGCCATATTGAAAAAGGAAACTTGATTATTTTTTGTAAAATGTATTTTTGATTGGCTTGTATTTACATGTGATCTGCTGACCTGGCAGATGGAGATAATTTTTAGATGAACAAAATGTTAACTTTTGTCACTCTTGAAGTGGTGTATTCTGAATTTTGTCAGCATGTGGAATAATTGCTTCATTGGAATGTCTTTCCTAAAAAGGATCAAGCAATAATGTCAACCAGTTCTCTTTAAAAAAACAAGTAAAAATATTGTAAATACTGTTTTTATAACAAAAAAGGAAGGGAAGAGGGAGGATGTTACGCTCATATCAGGGTTCCAGTTAATTGTTGAATGTCACTTTAATAGCAGTTCAGATAGTCCCACTTCATATTTTTATTTGTTAATCTGTAAATACCAGGTTTAAGTTTTTATTTTTATGCTGATCTCGTGGGATAACCTAAATGTGATCTTGAGTTTCTCAGCTGATTTCCTGCCTTTCCTTTGGCAAGACGTGCTGATAGCGGAGTAGAGACCTCCTGGACCACACGGGTGTTTGGGTATCCCTAATTCTCAGATATTCCTGTCCCTGGACACTCATTCTGGAGCACCACCCACCACAGCCATGGAAGACAGACTCGATTCTTGCCCCAGATAAGTGCTCTTCCAGTACCCTTTAAAAGTGCAGTAGCCCAGGGAGGGAGGTGACTCCAGGTGCTCCTCAGGCTCAACCAGGAAAAAGTGGGAGAGGGAAAAGGAGAGTGGAGAGCTCTCCTCACCTGGCAGAGCTCCTTGGGCTGCATTCCCCACATCCTGTTGGGGGGCTGCTCTGGATACAAACCATAAAGCACCAGCACTTCAGCTCCTTTTCCTTTTTGTCTTTTTTTTCCCCCCCAATCAGCGTTTTGGGAGCGTGGCTCCCGTGGGGCCTGCCCAGGCCAATGTCTGTCAGGCTTGGAGCTGCCAAAACCATGTGCCAATTCACCTCATGGAGGAGTCATTTGGGGGAGGATTTGCAGTCCCAATCTGCAGGAAATAGCAGCAGGATGGCAGGAGACGAGTTCCATCTGCACATCTCTCGCTCCCGGGTTGTATTCCGGTGGCAGCTCCCTGTGCTCCCTGGAGATGAGCTGGAGACATCTGTCTGATGTAAAAGTCTTTTCCCTGTTGCTTTGCCCTGTTTCTCATGGGAGCTGTTGCCACTGTTATTTTGGAAGCCCCTCTGCTCCCCGCAGAGCAGCGATCCCCAGGATTCCGATGGAATTTTGGGAGGGGCCGTGTCAGTGCAGCCACCACCATTGAGCAGCTCCTTTTAAAACCTTGCACAGCTTTCTTTCCCTGCCCTTTAGATGATGGTGGAAAAGGTGAGTCTTGGCGTGTTTTTTTGGGATATATTCCCGTGGCAGCACCCAAGGGTTCCGTGGGCGTGTCCCAGGTGTGACACTGACCTGGGCCAGCCCGAGCAGCACGTGCAGGTGAGGAGGATGATGGTGGCTGCTCCTCCCACGTCCAGAAATCAGTCCCTGCTCACAGGAACATTCACACAGGCTGCATTTTCCACTTCCACAGGTGACAGTGTTGTGTTCCACACAGTTGGAGGATTTACTGGTTCTTGGTGCAGGCCAGAAATTCTGTAACTGTTTGTGTTGAGGAAACTGAGGGGATTGACACGAGGTTTCCACACAGCCCTTGAATGTGTTTGCATTTCCACGTCTGCTTGGACAATGCACTGAAATTACTGTATTGAGTAGTTTAACCTACTACTGAGAAATGTTTAATGCTTAAATGTCTAATTAAAGAGCATCTTTAGAATGTTGTTGAATGGGAAAGTGTTTTTTCTGCTATTTCTTTATATTGTACATGGATTAAATATCGACTTCTCTTTGGGTTATCACTCTGTAATAAAAGACATATAAATATGTTATTACTTCTTAAATGATAGAACAGACTGTAATACACTTTATATAATTCTATTTTAATTCCAAATAATGCTTCTTGGAATTTTTTATGCTTTAACTTTTGTTGCCATGTGCTTTTTCCTGCTGTTGATTGGAGATGGAAGTGAGCTCTGATGTTCCTTCAGATGTGCTGCTTCCTTCACTCCTGGATCCTGCCTGGAGCAGGTTCAGCTCTTGTCCAAAAAGTGATGCTAAAGGTGATGGAGGCCCTGTCATTTCCTTTGTCTCTCCCCTCACAGCTCCTCAGCTGTTTCTTCCTGCTTAAAAAGCCACATCAATATTGGGTTTTAAAGGTGGGATGATGTGTTTTGTGGAATTCAGGAACACTTTCTGCCTGCCCTCCTCTCAAGATCCTCAGGTATCTCTGCTCCATGTGGCATGTCAAGGACTTGCACAACTGCTCCACTGCTTTTTATTGGAATTCCCAGTTGTGGATTTCTTCCTTTTTATTTTTCTGTTTGCAAATTCACCTTTTTAACATCTGTGAATCTTGGATTTGCTTCTCATCCACCAAAGCCTTTCACTTCCTGCAGATAAAGAAGCAATGTTGGTTCTCCAACCTTTGACATCCCAGACTTTCCATAGGACTTAACCCCCACACACCATCCCCTTTCCACTCCCCCAGAAGCTTGTTTCACCCTGTTGCTTGTTTTCAAACTGGGGCAGATTTGGGAATGCAAATTGTGACCTGTAAAAGGTTTGGAGCAGCAGATCCCTGGTTTCTGCAGGGATGGTGTGTTCCAGGGGCAGGTGGGCAGTTCTGGGTTGCTGCCACGGGGTGTGTCCAGGTACAGAAGCTCTGGGGTGAGTTCCCAGTGCTGTCACTGCTGTCCCCAGTCCAGCTCTGGGGGTGAAACAAACTATTCCAGTGAAATGCAGAGCTGTCACCATAACTGTGCTCCCCATCAGCCCGAGGTCACTGCCTGCACCTCCCTGAAGGACACTGGTGCAGGAGTAGCTGCAGCCAAGTGAGGGAAGTGTTGGATCCATCCCTTCAGCCCACTGCTGAGAAGGAAAAACAGGTATTTGCTTTAATTCCTTTTAAAAATCAGCTTCCAGGAGGTGAAGGCTTTTGTGGCCAGGTTGGACAGGGCTTGGAGCAACCTGGGTTAGTGGAAAGTTGGGGGAGCAGGGGGGCAGAATGAGATGAGGTATGAGGTCCCTTCCAACTCAGACAATCCTGTGATTCTATGAAAACACCTCCATGGAGCTTTAAAGGGATTTGGGGTGTTCTGACAGAGGCTGAAGAGTCTCTAGTTCTGCTCCCAGCCTGGGAGTGGAGAAGGGTGAAGGGTGGGAATTCTTCCCCAGCTGGTGCTGAGCTGTTCCGTGCCTGTCCTGTTCACTCAAATATAAATGTATTGCAAAAATATAATCTGAAATAACTTCTGGTTCTTCTGGTGGGATTGGCAGAGGAGGAGAGCCAAGATCTGGTGGTTTTTCTCATTCCATATTAAACAAAATTGTATGAAATCTAGTTTTGAAGGAGCTCTTGTGGAGATCGAGCTTTTATGTTGCTCCACGTAGCCTTATAGAGTCTGTCAGTCTGGGTCACAATAAATACATAGATGAAAATCACATAGATAGTGTGATAGAAATCCTGTATTTTGTGTTACACAGTTTCCTAGGGAATAAAGATACCCTGGCTGCTGTGTTTTGTTCTCTACCATTACAGTTCAGTTTAGCTTTGGCAGGTATTAACAAAAAATACCGATTTTCTAACAGTCGTTTTTCAAAGGGATTTAAGTGGCTGACAGCAAGAGGAGATTGAGGTGTGTTTGGGAGAGGCATCAAGGAGATCCAGTGCCCCTTCTGCCATGTTTTTGGAATTGCCTTGTCAGTGTGGAGAGCTGGGAGAGGCGGATCCAGGGCCCTGTGGCCATGACAGAGCTCAGTGAATGAGGCTGCTGGGGAGGAAGGGACTGGCACGAGAAATTCTTTGTTTCTGATTTGTTGAGGACAGCTGATGTTGTGTTTGAGAAGACGGAAATGAATCCGTTCCTCCTCAGTCTGTGCCTGTTCGAGCTGTGGGGCAGCTCTGATGGGGGCAGCAAAATCAGGGAGCACAGGATGGGCAGAGTGAGGAAGAGTCAGTGGGAGACACCTGGGTCATCCCTGCCATACCAGGCCTGGAGCATCACCCAGCGAGGCCAGGGGTGGGGTGGGGCTGAGGAGCCTCATTCCAACACGTACAACAGGAGAGGTTTCCATCCCTCTCCATCCAGCTTGTCCAGCCTGGCCCAGGGGATTCAACTTTCTGGCTTTTACAGTAAAGGTTTCGTGGGTAGTTCTTGGTTTCAGATGAGCCACACTCAGAGCAGGTAGAAAAACCTGCAAGGGCCAAAGTAAATTGGGATCTGTGCAGCTGAATAAAATGTTCCCTGAGGAATCAGGATGGTTTGGGTCTGAAAGGACGCTCAGAGGTGAAGAGGGAGTCAGGCCTGCTACCAGCAGAGTGAGATGCTCCCAGTTTGGTGCCTGGTGTGAGATGCTCCCAGTTTGGTGCCTTACATCATCCTGTGCCTGTGAAGATGGACAAACCCTTGTGCCAGGCTCCCGAAATCCCTTGTCACACACCCCAGGATGGGTTCCCAGCCTGTTCCTGGGAAATACCGGAGAGGGAGCCAGACTGGGGCAGAGGAAGAAAAGGGACTTGATGGAGAGAAGCTGCTGAGGAGCAAAGTTAAATCGAGAACACCATTCTGGAAATGCTGAGCTTCTCCAGCTTCCTGCCAAGCTCCCGGAGCTGACCCCAGCCCTGAGCTGCACCTTGCCCTGGAGCCCCCACAAACGGGGATATTTTCCTCAGATTTTGCTTCGTGCTGCGCTCAGTTTCCAGGCTAAACCCTCCCGTGAACTGCTGACGGCAGAGTTTTCCAGAGAACCTGGCAAGAAGCAGCGTGAACGTGCTGATGTGAATTTCGACGTTAATCTTCTGTAAATCGAGCGGCCCGTGGCCGAGGGACGGCCGGGAGAAATCCGGGTGATGTTTCCATGGCTCGCTGCACGCCCGCGCTATTGAGATGAAATCTCATGGATGGAATTCCGTGGACGCAGCTGCTGCATCAGCGCTCGGGGAATTCTGCTGTTCTGGTCAGAAGTGACCCATAAATAGCGGGGCCACCCGTGCCGCCCGGCACAGCGGAACCACACGGACAGGTAGCGCGGCCGGGACTGCGAGGGGCTGTCGCAAAGTTGGTGTGTCTGGGTCCAGCTGGCCCCCAGCGAAGGGTGTGGCGAGAAGTGAAGCTGCAGGGTTTGATTCAGGACGATATCAAACTCCTCTGTCATCTCCTAAGCCCCTCGCCGGCGTGGCGTGGCCGGGGAAGGCGTGTTCCAGTGTTGGAGCAGAGTTTTGTGGATGTTCCTGGAGAGAGAGGAGGGGGCTCTCACCGCCATCCCCCCAGCCGGGTTTGGTGTCCTCCAGGATGCTGGAGCGAGGGAGAGGTGTCGGGTTTATGTTGTGGGGAAAGATGTCAGCAGCTGGAAGCTGAGAAATTCCTGCTGGGAGCAAAGGCTGGGCTGTGAGAGGGGAGTTTAGTGGTGACTGGGCGAGCTGCCCTGGGCAGAGGGCTCTGTGGCACTTGGGACGGGGCTCGGTTCAGTCCTGTGGGTGCCTGGGGGAGGATTTGGGGCCTGTGTGCAGGAGGGAGAGGAGGATGGAGAACGGAGCTTGCTGCTAGCCTGGGCATCCCTGGGGATTTACAGCTGCTGCACCAGGGTCTGTGCTAACCCGTGCTGCGTGTTCCATGCCAGCTTCATCCTCTGTTTCATTCCCAGCTGTAAATCCTGGTGCCTCCCGCCTTAACTTCCTGCAATTTGGGTTTTCCAGACACAATGACCGAGCAGCAAAGTCCCCCCGAGCAGATGGCGACTGGGGAGGGTGCTGGCGAGCGAGGTGGCAGCTACAAGGTATACTGGGCTATACTGGGCTGTACTGGGCTGTACTGGGCTGTACTGGGGACAGCTGGATGCTGGGTGCAGCCGTGGGATGGGTGTGCACACGCCAGGCTGGAAGCAGTGGCAGCACTGCTGGGGACAGGAGTGGCCTCCAGCTCTCCCACAGCAGCAGTGGGGGTGGCCCCACTCTGGTGTTGAGCCCAGGGTGGGCTGCAGGTTTGGGAAGCAGCTGGGGCTGGGGATCTGCTGCTGCTCCCTGCCTGCGTGGCTGCCAAGGCCACTGGCTGGCCAGGCTGGTGTGCAGCTGCCCAGGGATTTCATCCAGGAGTTGAAGCATCCCAGCACAGCGGGATCAGCTCTGGGCCCAGGCACTGAAACTCCCCAGGTGGGCTTGTAGGTTGGGATTCAGCTCGTAGGTTGGTTGGAGGTAAATCAGCTGGAGAGGATGCAGTGGGTGCAGAGCTTCCCACAAAGCTGCTCCTGGACAGGGAAGGCTGGAGGTGGAAGCAAATCCTGCCAGTGGGAGAGGGGTGCCAGGACCTGGGGCTGTTTATTGGTTTGGGGTGCACAGAAGCTCCTGAGGAACCTGGGTGTCACCTCTATCCCTTGAGGTCCCCATTATGTGGTGTGTGCAGGAAGCTCTGCCCTGTCCCAGACTCAGGTGTTGCAGCTGGGACCCCTTTGGGACAGTGCCAGGGTCACCCCACTGGTCCCTGGACCCTCCTGGTCCCTGAATGGTGCTGGGCACCCTGGGCCCTGCTCTGTGCCACGCTCTGGCCGCTGGGACTGGCTCCAGCTCAGCCTCGAGGCTCTGCTGAGAGCAGGGCACCCCTGAGCCACTGGGGTCTCTGCACCTGGCAGGGTGTAGAAAGAAACACTGAACAAAGAGCTCGTGCCAGGCCAAGTCACGGGGATGGTTGGATCTGGAGGGAGCAGTGATAAGGAAATGATAATGGGCAGTGACCAGGCTGGGGGTAGGAGAGGCAGCCCATGGCTCAGGAATTTTCTTAGCTCAAATCTTCTGCATTTCCAGTGCTGTGTGTGATCTGGTTTTCAGCCTGTCACAGACAGAATTCCAGCTTGTGCTTTACCAAACATCCTTGGCCAGAGCTCTT